GGGGGGGGGGGGGGGGGGGGGGGCTAATTAATGAGAGTGGTGATTCGAGCAGACGAGCGTCGCAAGACAACGTTTGTGCCGGTACGGTATAACGCGCGGCAGTCGGAAATGCATAGACGCTCCGCGGTTTCGCGGGTAATTTATGCGCGCGCGCGGGCATTATGCGCGGAATAATGTCGCCGAGAGCTTGGCGCGTATACGGAATGTGAACACTACTCCCTTTCGTCCTTTGTGACACCTGCGCCTCGCCCTTCTATCCTTTCACCTTCTCCCGGCCCCGTCCGTCCGTCCATTCGTTCGCTCGTTCATTCGTTCGTTCTTCCCCGCGTGAAAATTCGCCTCGACAAATACCGGCGACCGAAGAATGACTATTCGCGTCCCGGTGAGCCTTGCAAACGCGTTTAACCGCCTCGCCTAAAGAAATTCTACGCGAATGCAAATATATCTGTCGCGTCGCGTTGTTCGTGTGCACGCATCAGTCAGTCGGACAGGGATGAAGGGGCGACGGTGGAAGGATGGAAGACGCGAAACGGACTGCGAAAATAGAAAATCGCGTTTGGCGCGCGTGCTCCGATCAACGAAAAATTATCACTCATTCGCGCGATCTCTATTATTTACACCCGACAGTTTCGCCCGGCCGACCGTGCGCGGAGTAAAATTCCCGACAATGGCTTTTACGCAATATCCGAATTTGAATTTTTCATTTCTCTATCCAGCGCACGTCTATCATCTCCACGACGTGTCTGCCGCGTGCTCGCGCGCGCGTGACCGCCCGCGCTGCTAAAATCTAATATAATCTAATATCATAAAGAAGCGAATCTGGCACACCGCCGGATGGATAGATTACCTTCGCCGGCGCGGTTGCAATCTAGAAAGTGATAGCCAATCGCAGATAACCGGCCGCGCAGTTGACGTAACAGAACCCGAGGCTACGTGTGCAACAAGAAAATTACGATGCGGCTCTTAGCAAGTAACATTCTCCGCGCGGTTACCGAGCGCCATTCAGCGAGCGGTTAAATACCGTACGGTATTGGAGGACGCTATCTCCTCGCGGCGATGGGCTCCGTGTCTGCGAGCGCGTCTTCTCCTTCCGTTCTTCGTGCCACCTGTACTTACCTATCGAGCCGTCTACCAACCCTCTCGACGGGAATCAGCTTGCGAGAGAGCGAGTGGGCTCCTCGGCTGAGAACACGGCCGTAATATAGTCTATTGCGCGGACAAGGCGCGGATAAAGATAGGGAATCTCATGAGTAAAGCGCGGATAATAAATCTCTCTCTCTCTCTCTCTCTCTCGGTGTTGGTAGCCGGTTAATCCAACGAGTAACGATCAGTCAGAGGTAACCGTGTGTCTCGGCGACGGCGATCACGCGATACGACCTGGGGCTGATCTCGACGACGGGGAGGGGGGGATCACGACGCGTTTACTTTCCCCGCTAACGTTTCCTAAGCAGCTGCAGCAACAGCAGCACTTCCGGTAAATGGCTAAATCACGTCCGCTATTCGAGAACGCTATCTCGTCGTGCGTGCGAGAGTGCGTTCCCTCCACCCTCCGTCCTAGCACCTGTACCTCCATCCACCTACCACCTACACACCTACCAGCCGCCCACCGACACCCTCTCGGCGGAAACCGGAGGGAGCGAGCGAGCGGCCGAGGTGACGCGCGAGAACGAGAAGGATTTCGCGAAGAGGGGCAACCACCCCGCGCGGAGAGAGGGACCGGACGGGGGCGAGAGAGGGCGCGTAGAGAGGGTGGCACGCATGCGCCCGGGCACTCGCAGGGGTTACCCGGCGCGGATCAGTCGTGGCCGGCGGTGCCGGAGGCCAAAGACTCTCGTCGCGAGGGTAGTAGACGCGCCGCGTTTTCCGCCGGACCTCTTCGCTCTCGGGTCTACTACTTACTTGTGTCCTCCTCCTCCTTCTCCCTCGCCCCCCTCGTCCCGCACCACCGACCCCCTCGCCGACCCTCGCGTCCTCCGACCGATATCTACGCCGGCTTAGACTGGCCGCGCGCCGCGTATGCACCGCGTGCACTCCCAGCATCGCCGTCGACACCGCGACCACGCTGCTCGTCCTCGTCGTCGGCCACCAGGTTCCAGCGTGTCGTGCACGTCGCCGACGACGACGACGAGAACGACGGCGACGCGACCGGACGACGCCGTAGACCGAGTGGCCCAGGGTGACGGCTGAAGCCGGCGAGCGTGCATCGTCTCGTCGTTTTCCGTCTTCTTCTTGCGGGTACCAGGCGTCGAGCTCGGCCGAGCGCAGGATTCGACCACAGGATCGAAGGATGCTGGCCCGCTGCCTAATCTTCGCAGGTAATTCGTTCGTCATCGAAATCTTCTCTCTCTCTCTCTCTCTCTCTCTCTCTCGATCATTCTCTCTTTTTTCCGCCACCCCCGACGCGATTCTCTCGTTATTTTCCTCGTTACATTCGAGAGTCGCGAGTCCATCGGCAGTGGAAAAAGTGAGAACCGGGAGCGGGCGCTGCGAAATGCGCGCGGGATAAGCGCATAAAGCGGTCAAGGAGGATTCTTTAAGTCGACTAGTGATTGCTCCGCCGGTCTAAATCACTCGATTGCGAATTAATCGCTCACTGTTGCGCTCTAAACCGTAGCTCTGCCTTACGATACAAACAGGGTGAATGGAAGTTGAAGTAATAGAGATTAACGGCAACATCGGCGATGGTAACCGGCGTCCGGGTAGGGAAGAGTGAATTGTAACTCTCGCATCGGCGAATTGAAAACACGACGGTGAAATAATGATTTTTCATCCGTATAAAACCGTACAACACGTCGAACTGTGCGTTACGTGTATTTCGTATCTCCGAGGAGACTCGTGCGTTGGATAAAATTCCGCTCGTTTCCCGAACTTTTATCTCTCGCGATAGCGGCGGGAGAGGATTTTCTCTCTTCGTTCTCTGCCGGGTTTTAGTCGGCCGGAAATGTGCGCTCGACGTCGTCCGACGGCTGCCCGTCGTTATCCCTTTCGGTTTTCGATTAAATCTCGAATCCCGCCCGGAAGGACGTGATTCTTTCTTTCCCCTCTTCGTAGGGAGGAAGTGCGCACACAGGTCTGGCACGGACGCAGAGGCTGCCGGGGCTGATTGATACTTTACGACGGGAATTTCGAGCGCTCCCCGTCGCTACAAGCTGGGCCTCACCGGTGCTTTATTAAAAAACATTCCTCACTGGGACGCAGCCTCCGCACGTCCGGGAGTTCCGTTCTCGGTGCCAGGCGAATTTCCGTCTCGGATTTACTTTACGATCCGCCGTACACGTGACTCGCGGAACACCGCGCGCACACCGCACATTCTGTTTCCCCAAGACGTGCATTACGCGCGCGCGGGCTTGGCATACCGCGCCGCGGATACGGTGAACTTTTGAGTTCGGCATTCGGTGCCAAGTGAGCGACTCGCGCTCCCCACGCGACAATCCCCGTCTTGGAGAAATTCCGGCTTCGCCGACGGCAAAGTCGCACACACACGTGTCTCTCTCTCTCTCTCTTTCTCGAGGGAGAACAACGCAAAGTCAGCGCGCGTAGGGCGTCCCACATACAAGAGCTTACGTCACGCTAAAAAAGCTCACTGCATCCATAGCGGTTTCAGGCAGCGAGACACACACATACACATGCTTCCCACAGCGCGACGTGTCGAGGCAGTCGTCGTAATTGAAGCGATCGAAGTGTATCGCGGCGTAAATTTGCGCGGAGGCGAAAGTTTCGCGCCGCGACGGGGAACGAATGCGAGCGTCCGCGCGCGCGCGCTATCGCGGTTACCGCACACGTCCATACCAGCTATTTTCCCCGTGGAAACAATTTCAACGACCGTCCAACTTCCTGCGTAAACGCGCGTGTGACACACGGCGACGGGGGGCGGACGTGGGCGCGTGTGTGTATATCGTCTGCCGTTCCCGCCGCCGTCGCCCGTGGTCTATAGCGCCGTGTGCGCTTCGAAAAGTTTCGCGCTGGAAACGAGATAGAGCGGCCCCTCGCGCACGTGACATTCGCGGAAATCTAATTCGCGAAACTGCACGGTAACAAGCCCGTTGTCCGATTGAAAGGAAACCGAGTGAAACTCGCGGATCGCGCATGAACGCGCGGAATATTCCGCGCGGTCAATGGAAAATCGCGCGATCCCGATAGCAGAGGGGGTACACCGGGTGTCCTGCTGGAGGTTGCTTCGCATCTGAGTCTCGAGGACTCGCGCGCATCCCCGGGGGTCGTTCAGGCAACGAAGGAAGAATGTCGGACGGGAAAAGAAAGTCGGAGGGATTTCCGGCCGGTGGAAGCGCGTTAGCCCGATAATATCCTCGAAATTAAAACATTTCTCCCCGTGTTACCCTCCCCCCCTCCTGTCTTCCGTGCGTTTTATGGAATTCGACAGCGGCTAGCTGTGGCGAGGTGTGCTCGTCCCGAAGGAAACGGATGATTGAAAAACAAACGGACGGATGTAAGAATAATAGTCTAAAAATATGTTGTTCCGCGCTGCCGAGGTCCATATTGCTCTCCCGTCTGCTGAAAAACACGAATATCCGAGCGCGGAGCGAGTAATTTCTCAATTCCTGTCATTACTTGGCGCTTTGTTTGCACATTAAAATAATACTCGGTGTAATAATGCCATTACGGTAAAATGAGACGTCTCTGCCTTATTTAACGAAGCGCACCGTGGGGGAAAGGGAAACATGTTCCGACCGAAATGAATCGCGCACCGTAATATCGACGAGCGTTAAATTATCCCGTTCGACGTTCGTTCAATCCGCGAGCGAGATGTATTGGAGATGTAATTATTCGGGTCGACGAAAAACTCCGCTTTCGCGTGAGAGAGTGTTGTATAAAAAAATATATATGTATATATATATGTGTAAAAAACTCCGGCCTCCGAGTTCCTCTCGTTTATCTCGCTTAGGAATGGCGATTAATCGCGAGAGAGCAGAGATAGAGATTAGAGTAGGGTTGAGCGAGTGAGCTAGAGAGAGAGAGAGAGAGAGAGAGTCGATTGTATATCGTCCGTCTAGTATAATAACTCCCTTAATGATACATAAAGACGGTAAACTCGAGACGCGGGGAGCGCGTACAAGGAAACTATCAATTACGAGCTTCTCGACGTCTACCTCGGGGTTTGCTGTACGTTTGTCTGGCGGCAGCGAGTGCAATCATCCCTCAGACACCGGTCGGAGGGAGAAGAAGGGTCGATAACGATCGCGACGCATCTTAAGATTCCTCTCGTTAACGTCCCTACTTTCTTTTGCCCCGGCGCAGGAAGCTTTCTGTAGTTTCCTGAAGGAGCTCGCTGTCGCCGTCTTCTTCTTCTTCTTCTTCATCGTCGTCGTTGTCGTCGTTGCCGACGCCACCGTCGCCTTGCCCCCTCATCCCGCACTAATTGCGGACAATCCCGGACTTGAAATCTCTCGAATCCGGGAAAGCCTTTAATCTCGACGGCCGTGCCTTAACGATGTCGTCCGTGTTTCGTGGAACGACGTTCTGAAATTTAAGCGCTCAGGCAAGCGGAAGAGTCACCCTTAATAAGGCTCCTCCTTCGCTTCCACCAGGTTAACATCGCAGTCTTTCTCTCTCTCTCTCTCTCTACTCTTTCCCTCTCGCCCCACCTTTCCCTTCGGCGACGTTCTCGCCCGAATCTACGGGAGGTGCGCGCCCGGCGTTAATGGAATATTTTAATGACTAAGTAAACCTTTAATCACGGCTTTGTCGGCCAGCAGGAACACATCGCGCGAAATTAGAGATAAGTAGGTGAGCCGTTCGACCGCTCTCGCGCCTCGTCTTATCGGCCCTCCTCTTTAGAGAGGGGTAACGCGCGCATACCCGTGCGCAACAATGCGTCGTGTAATTCTGCTCTCGTGAAAGGCTGCTCGATAATCGCGGCGAAGGTCCGGACGGACCGCACAGCGGACTGTAATTAAGAAGGTGGAGGCTGGAGCGCCGGACGAAAAGTGGTGAAATGCGGCGGGCGAGAGAGAACGGAGGAAGTCGAAAGTTTCCGGGGCGGGCGAAATGTAAATGTCGGTCCGCGCGGGAAATCCTCGCGAAGCGCAACCGGGGAGAGAAGGAGCGAGTTTCAGTTTCTCTTCCGCGCGCGAGCGTCTTCTTGGGAATTAATCCGAGTTCCCGCCGGCGACCCCGGCGTTCCCCGACGATTGAGAAATTCAAACGCGAATCAAATAGACTTCTTACCGCGCGCGATTCTCAATTAACGCGCCATTCAGCTCGAACCGCCGGGATTATTCTTTCGGCCTCGCGGTCGTTTCGCAAAGTCAATTTAATACACTCGCTCGAGCCCGAACCGTATCCAGCGATTTGCTAACCGCTTTCTGACCGACCACCACCGCCGCCACCGCCGCTGCCGTTGGTTCCACCTGCAATAGCACAGGAAGATTCGGTTAACCGCGGTTAGCGTTAACGCATCCACCGACGCAGCGGCCCGGCCGTTTCGCTATTCGCGCAAGCTACATTCCTGTCGTTTTAACTGCGCTTTTAACCCGGATCGCACCCGGGTGGGTCGCACTTTTCGGCGCTGCAACGAACGCCCGCGCGATATTCGCTTCCGCGAGGACGGACGCGTTGCAACGGGGATGTACGTGCCCGGTGACGAAGCCTGCTAATTATTTCTCACTCGGAAAGGCCGGTGTGCTCGGCGCGCGGATTTTCCGACGCGAGCGAGCGAGTCCAGAGCTGATATTTTCCTCAACATTCGTCCCGGCCGCAGCCCCTATTAATCCTTTGCGCGGACTTTGCACGCGAAATTGTTTGAAGAAGGATGTAGTAGTAATGTAGGGTTTTCTTTCTTTTTTCGTAATCGAGTCACCAATGGTGACCGAGGAGCAGTTTGTCTACGTGGTCGCCGCGTATAACCGCGTTGCGCGCCGTCAGGTTGTTTCGGTACAAACAGAGAGTGAGAATCATTAATTCGCTCCTCCGTTTCCCCGGGAAGGATACCGATACCAGCCTCCACAACGCGGCGGTGGCTTCCACGTCGTATTTTCATGCAAAGTAAATAACGTTTCTCCTTACTTCTCCGCAGCGAAATTACCCCTTTGTAATGGAAGCCTCGGCTCGGTTGCTCAGGGAGAAGTATTTATACGATACTCCCGGTTCCGCGGCAATTGCAGCGGCGAAAGCTGATACGCACGAAACGATATACACGAAAAGTCCATTTTCGTTAACTTTCGTCCCATCGGACGACGATGGAAATAACCGGTCGGGATCCAGACCGGTTTCTATCGACCGGCGAAGTGCGCTCGCTCATGGCGATGGCGGAAAAGAGGTGCCCGGCTCTTTCGCCGGCACGTTCCCCGATTAGGTG